TGAGTGGGATAACCGCCAGATTCCGCTAATACCCGGTGGATCAGGAGCCGTCGCTATGGTCGTTAAAAGTGGTAAAGCACCTCGTCCGCGTTGTTGTAAGGCTGTAGTACTTCCACCGTACCCATTTTCGTTCCGAGCAAATGCACGCACGTAGTAATCTTGACCTGGACGTAATCCTTCGATGGTTGTTTCTAGTGCAACATCCACACCTTTCACGAGTTCTTGCACGTCAACGGTGGCTTTTGTCCCTTTTAGATAGCTCTTATCAGCGATCACTAGTGCTGGCAAATCCCCGAGATTCGACAAAAATGTAATTGTCCATGTCGTGCCATGATCAACAGTTTTAGTTTGAGTTATGCTAACCCGTCCAATTGTAGCAAGAGCTTGGAGCTTACTTCGGACGTCAGCTGCAGTATCATCAACGTTGATAAGAGCTACACCTACGGATCGAAAACTTAAGGCAAAATAGCCACTCAAATCATCAGCAGATGCTTTGATGGAAAGTATCTGCACCTCAAAAATTACGCCACCAACTTCTTGCGAGGTCACAATTGCACCGACGCTATAGTCACCCTTTATTTGAGATAAATAAATTGTCTGAGACTCATCTTTCACAACAGATGCTGTCACCGAGCAAGTGGCACAAGCAACGCCGTGCACATCAACAAAGTCCGTGGTGCCTGTCGTCTTGTCGACGCGAAGGCTCACAGTATAAAGTGACTGGAATGTGACATACCAATGATACCCATTCAATTTTGTTGGGCCAATCCGTGACACGTCTATGAAGCCGATACCAGGTAGCGCACTTAACGCACGTTTCATCTCCGCTGCCTCCACATTTGCATGCAATGTCGTCTTTTTTCGCGCATATACAGTTATGTGCAACGTTGTATCGTCCGTCCATGCAGAATTTAGTGTTATCGCACCAATCGCGACATTTGTTACTTGAAATACCTTTAAGCCGATTTGCACTTGCTCTCCAGTTGCAATTTTGCCAGTGAAGTCGCTCGAAGTGGTAACCAAGTTCGACGCCTTTGTCACTTGAGCGTTGCCAAGCGCTGTATCGTATAATTCAATAGTTAAACCGGCCGCTCCATCAACGTGATACGAGTCCAATGGTAACTCCAAATCTGTGAATGGAGCGGTGGCATGAACCGTAAAGACGTCTTGTCCGATTCGAACTTTATCTCCTCGATTCACACGGCCCAACATGGACGCGCTAGTCTTGACTACATTTGATCCTGCCAACACGGTGGCAGTCACGACGGGATTAGTGTCGACCCATTGTCCTTCAAAGCCGATGGACAAATCAAACGTTCCGCCCAATACCTTTGTTTCTGAAGTATCCGTCGACACAATCTCCCACATATCTGGGTAAAAATCAGCAACCCCCGTTGTCACATAAGCCCCTTCGAATGATAAAATTCGATTTGGTGGCTGAAGTACTTGGCATCCTGTCGTATCTCCGACCAATAATTGCGCTTGTCGTCCACTAACAAGATATGTGCCATCAAACGTAATTGTGTACATATATCCAATCTTCGGAGCCCCAAAAGCCGATCTCGAGACGTCCACGCTGTCAACATTAAGCAACTCCTCCAAAGCCATTTCAAACGCTATTTCGCTGGCATTCCACGGAATGCACGATGTTGTCTCGGTGCTATATCTGCTCTCGAATAAAATTTTGTAGCTGCCTGAAAAGATAGGACCAGTAGCTGCCACAGAAAACGTTTGCACTTCGTTAACGCGTCGTGCCACCTCCACCTTATACCCGAGCACGGGAGCACCATTGACACCTTCGGGTTTGACATGTAGCGGTGGGGTAAACTGTACATGCATCGATGAGTCACTCGCAGAGGCCACAAAAATCCTCTCTGGAGGACCAGGAACGTCTCCCGGAGCGAAAAAGTCGGCATTGGTAGCAGCAGTCAGCAACCCCAGTATTACGAATGTAAGTTGAAGTCGAAGTTCCCAGAGTTGTCGACCGTTCATGGCTGCAAATAAGGTCATGAACGACTTGCGCTTTGACACATGTACGACGGATCACCACGAAACGACGCCGATCTTTTGAAAGGCGCATGAGTTGATGGGCCTCTACACCAATTCGGTACGTCGATAATCAGTAGCAAATTAAAAAAAATTGTAGTGTTACAAAATTTTGCTTGATGTCTTAAACATCATATCATCTCCATAGCTGTTCCGACACTTACCATTAATCACGTTTTGCACCCCTTTAGCTGTATGAGTGGGGGTGATTCGCTACCAGGACCTTACAGTCTAGTTTTCGCTAAACTTGCTTTAATTTCTAGTGACGACTTACATTCGCTTTTAAAAATTACAAGTAAAAAAACCTGTTTGGTCTTTTAATTTTCCCAACGTCCAAAATAGCTAGATTAGACAGTTGTTCGCTCCACCACGATGGGTACTCACCTATTACTATAGTATTTTCTTGATAATCTTGCGAAAAAAGGGTCCCGAATCGCAAACGTTGCATCTCACTCAATTCGTAAAGCCGTTGAAAATAGCAACGATAAAGCGCTGCCGTCAGGTCGCTGTGTATAGTGGTGATGTACTGATCACCTGTACAAATGATCATCACAACATAATAAAGACATTGATACAGTGTGTTTTCAATGAGACACCTTAATCCCGATCAACCCCAAAACAAATCGTGATCTTGGGATCCCGCTTGAAAGAAAGCATCTTTCTTGGCATTTGATTGAGGCTTCCATAAACCTTAAACTCACCACTAGAACATAATACTCTTTCCTTAACGTCCAGACGGATTTTTGCTGGATAGGTCAGTAGAGGTGTCCGCTTTGCACAATTTGAAAAAACATTGTCAAAACCAAGTTTCAGCGGGAAAAAAAACTTACTGATTAGTATCAATATAAGAGAGGTAAATATCAAAACAATCGACTATGTCTCAGTATTCTTGCTTGACGTCGTTTTGCATCTGCTGCACATCTTTATCCTTTTTCTGTCGACCTCAATTGTCGACAGTCACTCGCCATTGTGGTAGTAATGCTTTCAAATTTTATTTTGTGCAAAAAAATTTTACGTTAAAATAACGGTTTTCGAATTCAAGGGATCAAGTATCAATGCTATAAAGCGCAGGTATCCAAGAATTATTTCAAATGCAGAAATTTGCGATTAAATAGAATGCTTCTGTTTCTGCGAGTAATTTCATGACTTATCTTAAAATTTGTACTCGAAATACTTTTATTGTCCTCTTTTTTCTAAGGTTCAAACATGAAGTGTAAACTATCCCACCGTCATCCATGTACTGTACAATTTACACTTTAACAATCCCATCACTGAAGTAGATAAAGAAAAGTTGATCAAGACAATGCATCAAAGCAAGACACTTTTCACTAATTCTGTGCCAAACTTCCATCGCCGTCCTTTTGCGACGACTGCATTCCCTCCCTGCAGATATCGTAGCACATGTTGCACACACGAATTTTCACTGATTCTGTCTCAGTTTTGTTCTTCTTGCTGCGGCGACGTAGCGAAAACGGGACGTTCTTAGCACGCACTTTGCACGCTGAGCACGCAGAGCACAAGACTCGACCACAAATTCGACAGTGATGTCTTCGTGAGCTTAGGCCGCCAAACTTCTTGTGGCACTCCATGCACACAGGTCGTTCATTATCCGGTATCCAAACAGGTGAGTGGGCCACTTTGGCCATCAACTTCTTTAATTGGTCGTGATCCACCTTATCAAACACCGTCTTGCCCGACTCGTCCTTGAGATCGAGTCTGGCTCCGTGGCGCACGAGTCGAGTAGCCACCTGAATAAGTCCTTTGTCGAGCGCCACGTGCAAGATCGTCGACTTGTCCACAGGTGCATTGGGATTTGCACGGTGTTGCAACAATACCTCCGTCATAGTCGGGTCGTCCTTTGTAGAGGTCAAAATATGTACACCTAATGGTGTTTGATTGCGCATGTTGAGGAAATTTACGTCGGCTCCACACTCCAGCAGTATTTTAGTCATACGACGCGACTTGGCTGCAGCTAAGTGCAAAGCCGTATTGCGACGGTTGTCTGCCACGTTGACGATAGATCCGCGTAAATGTGGCATGAGCAATGCTTGTACCACATTGAGGTGACCACCACGAATGGCAAAGTGTAGAGCTGTTTGACCAAACATTGGGTCGCGTCGAAGGATATCAGTACCAGCTTGGATGGCAAGTGCATTCACCAGCACGATATCTCCAGCCCGAGCTGCCTGTAACAGCGGCGTCAAGCCGTCAGGTGAACTACCACTTAGCCGTCGTTGGTTAGTACTGTATACTCGACGATAACTCTCATCCATACGCATAAGAGCACTGCCCATTTCCGAAACTCTGCAACTATTGGCAAAAGTAGACTCATTACTTACTATAAGGCTGTCTCGATAATTGCTCTCACGCAAGCTCATCATCTCCTGCACATCAAAGCTGCTAGTCAGCTGCATGCAGCGATAGTCCGACGAGTTGCATCGACTGAGAGATGAAGGTGGTGCTTGATTGATTGCATTATCAGCGTCATTGTCGTCGCACATGGAGTGAGCCTTCGAGCTGGCAGCACTACTGGTTCTACTGCTATCAGTCGCAGCTGAGGCAGCATACTTGAGAGTGGGCGAGAGTGGCACGTAGGATACGTTGAGACTGTCAATATCCACGTCAGAAGAAGCCATGGCGACGTGTCTGGGAGAAGTGGCGAGGCAAAAATGACGCTGCGTTTCAAAAAAAACTTACGCTGTTCCTTTCTGTTCTAGAACGAAAACTGCCAAGTGCCTTCTCTTCCTCAACTTGAATAATGACCGAGCAAACGGTAGAGTGGATGAACAAAAATGGGCATCTGATTAATTTGACTTCCTTGTGTGCAGTACCCATTTGTAACATGTTTGATATTTCGATTGCTGCAGTTACTTTCAAGAATAACGGCATCGCTAAATCGCAGCGATATTCCATGTTGATTCCTTATATTGTCTGTCGCTTGACTAAAGTGTGGGTGTAATGAGCATAGTCCTTCTACATTGGAATGTCAGATCTACTTGAGATACTACGGTACACTGTCATGACGTGGAGCTTACAAATCGACACATAGATGTATTTTTGATAAAAATGTTGCCCGATCGAATACCAATAGTCGCAGCGGAGGCGTCTGTACAGCAAATCTGTTCCACTGTGGATTTTAGAAGATACTGTATTGAAACAGCATCTAACCATATATACGAACAGGATATTTGCGAATACATTGATGTGACATCCTAGATATATTGTTTCTATCTGCACTTTTCCAGATGATAAATGTAGCGTCATATGTACTCAACCTCTCCCATCGTGCTGTCAAATAAAGTGACGAAACGACAGTCTTACCTCCGTTTAGTCAGTCAATCAACGGATCTGGCTCCATCGCAAACGTTTTCGAGAAGATGAAGAGATCACTCACTTTAGTTTCGTTAACCCCGACAGTGCTAACGCACACAATAATTCTTGCTTGACCTTTACTAGTAACTCTAAGGCCATAGAAATGATGCTAGATACATAAGCTCTATACCGAAGGTAGCTGAGTCAATTATACTGATCTAAAGCCAGTCGCAACCAGTATAAAACAGATGACGAGGACGTTACGTTCAACAAAAGGCTTCATTTCCAGCTTGCCATGCCTGATATTAGAAGTAACTTGCTCTATATATATTATTTCCTCAACAACTGCTGCAGTGAAATCAAATCCAAACGGCTTTATACGTTACTGACGACTGCTTTCTTCCTCTTCGTTTTCCAATGAATCAATTTTCGCTAAGATACGTCGAATATTTCGTCTTGATACCTCGTCTGCAACCACTTTATCGTACAGATGCTCAAGTTCTTCAACAAAGTCAGGTGCAGTCTCCAGAAGAAAATTATAGCATTCAGGGTATACACAGAAGTTGCCGAGAGAAAAAAGGACGATACGACGAGAGGCAGTGCTAGTCTCTGTCATGGCTAATTTTAAAAGCTTACATGGAGCTTCGTGGGTGCAAAGATCGATGCAGAGTTCGTCCGAATTGCGCACGAGATTGCCAAGTGCCCCTCCAGCATTCGATCGAGTCTTTTCCTCATCGTTGTGAAGATTCTGGATCAATAGCGGAATGGTAGGACGAAGTGCGTTATACAATTCTCCACTGTGAAAAGCTGCATTGCCAATGGCAAAGCATGCAAACCGACGTACATAATTGTCAGGGTCTAATAAGCCACGGATCGTTCCCGCTAAAATGGTGTTGGATGAATCGCCATTAGTTGGAGTGATAAAGTGCTGATAGAAATATGCCGAGTGCCGACACAAATTTCCAATACAGTTTAGAGTTTTCGCACGCACCATGGCTTCAGAATGTTGTGTTAGGTCGCAAAACTCTGGTAGCAGGTCCGCCTGAAGTATATAGTCGTAGTTGGATGGAGAAGTGCGGGCAAGTTGACTTAGTATCAAGAGCGTGTCAATGATTAAGGATGGTGAACATTTACGACCCAGCATGCCACACTCTTTAATGACCAAGACTCCATCAGCTTTGACAAATTGACTACCAAAATGGGTCGAACTTGTAACGAGTCGCGACAAAAAGCTAATTGGTAACTCGAGCACTGTAGCCTCTGAAAGCAATTCTTTTGTTGAAAATACAAACCGAAGAACGCCGAGCAGTTTTTGTACGCAGTTGGTGTCATACAAGATCTCTTGCGTATCAATCAGAAGCTCTTCCGACACGCTGTGTGCAAATGGAATACCTAGAACTTTAACAGTGGCATGTACAAGCGCTTTGACGGCATTGCTTCCACCTCCAACCAGTTCCGGCCAATGGAAAAGATATTCTATGTGCTTTAATTGTAGTAAGTTCACCAAGTGCTTCAACAAATGTTCGTTCACTGCAATTTCCATTTCTGGCTCGTTGCACTGCACCTCACGCACAGTGCGAAGTAATTTAAGGAAACAGAACAATCCCCAAGGTGACAGGAGGTCTGCCCCACCATTGTACATCATGTCAGCAAACACTTTCCAGACGTGTGCATGCTCAAAAACAGACAAAAAGAGACTCATCTCCTCCGATCGAGTCGCTCCTGCTTCCTTAACTTGGGATCGGGATTTAGCTGACGCTTTGGATGCAATTCGAAGTAAAAGTACAACTCCAGAGTCCAGAAGTCCTTGTGCTCGAATGTTGTAGCTTGTGAGCATTTCTGACTTACTGGCGCTAACATCCGTGGCTGTTGCGCTGGTGCGAAATAGGCGCAAAATCGCATCGAAACATCGCACACTGATTGATCCATGCACTACTAAATTCCAAAGCTCTTTATGCTGGGTTGTAAATGTTTCAAGACTGTCGCTGTCAAGCGCAGATTCATCCAAATTACATGATTCAATGATCTCTGCGAAAAACGAGCTGGAGGCACTGAGCACAGCAGAGTCGTTGGCGTCTTCAAAGATAGGATATAACATCTTTGCACATTGCCATATCTGTCGTTTTGGCAGCACACGACGGCGCAGCATCACTGACAAAAGTTCTGTCGCAAAGTACTGCTCGATTTGGTGTAGTCTTCGATGGGAATAGCCGTATGTCAAAATCATGATAATATCTGCGTCTGGGTGATTCTGAAAAAGTATATTTGTCACGGTAAGTTTCTTCGATAAAGGTGCCGAGGATCGACAAGCATGCAAAAGAATCTTCAAAATACAGCAAATAGTAGACTGATCCGCGTCTTCTTCGCCAATGTCGTCTTCTTCATTCATTTCAGCATCGCTGTTTTGAATGCGCTCATGAATTTCATTACCGAGAGTACCCAGCAGTTCCTTGACACCACTGCTTAAGAGATGCAATCCTACTTCAGTGTGAATCTTCACACGAAGTTTGTATAAGGGCTTGACGTCGTGAATCTCAGCTGCTTTTAATACTTTATGACTTTCACGCACTAACGTAAATACAGGAAAAGGCGGAAGGGGACTCCAGCATTTTGCACCTGGCTGAACGAACGAAGCCAGAGCAAAAATTGTATACATACCTACATCTCGGTCAGTTTCGGAAATGCTTGATGCTTGTAAGAGTTTGCACAAGGTCTGGATTAATCCTGATGGATACACGATTTCCAGCAGTGTTGTTAGGTTAAGAGATTGATCAATCATTGATCCCAGCCACTTAAGAGCTTTTGAATGGCAGACTGCGACCACTTGGTCCTTGCTCGTAAGCATGAGTAAGATAACTTGAACATCGCTCATGCAAAACACGCGGTAGTCAGGCAGCTCATTACACTTATTTTCAGCTCCGATAGAATTGATGAGTGTCGTGAATATCATACAGCATCGTACACTCTTGTAAATCACGTCACTAATCTGTTCTTTATGCTCCTGGACGAGTACACAAGCTTCAACTAACCGCATCAAAAAGGAGTGAATGCTAGACTTAGCGCGCAGGAAATCGCTAAGATCTGTCACTGTGTCAGATTCCTTTAGCCGAAGCACTGAAGTGCGGTACAAGATGTGCAGCAATGCTCCAATCTTGTTTAAAGTACTGCTTGAGAGTAGTTCCTCAGCAGCGATCGACGGTAGCATGCTGACAACTTTGCAGAACAATGGAGTACTTATAAGGTCCACATTTAGATTCTTGATATCCAGTTCCTTATTTAACTGATCCCAGCCAGCTACAAAACTTTCAAGCGCAACAGCAGAGACGGGTCTTGGAGGTTTAGAAAGTGGAGACGGCTCACAATCATCATCTTTGCTAGCGATAGGCGTCATAGGACTCGTACTAATGTTTTCACACGACATTTCGGGCTGAGATAGCTGCTGACCTGTTTCTGGGTCGCAGATCTTCCACTCGTCACATTTCAGCAAACGCTCCAAACTTGGTTTCACTTTTTCCTCTTTGTTGTTTTGGGAAAATTCATCTGACTTCTGATCACTGAAGAAACGTGGTAGACTACGAATTTGTCTTTGGAGTTGAAGCCGAGTCTCTAGTTGCTCTGGAGTTTCTCGTATAAACGGATGGTCCAAGATTTTTGGCCACTTGAGTCTTTGAGCTGGATTTTTGTTCAACAATCCTTTTAGTAAGCTCTGAAAGTCTGCAGACATCGTTGATGGATACTTGACGTCGTCGCGCACAATCATCTGAATCAACGATACAATCCTATCTGTGTAGAAAGGAGGTTTTCCCACTGCAAGTTCATATAAAATAACACCTAGCGACCACAAATCCACTGTGTAATTGTACGGCTTTTCCTGCACCAGTTCTGGAGCCATGTACAGCGGTGTACCCTTGATCGATCTCAATAGACTCGAGTCGTGTGCAATAGCGCGAGCAAAGCCGAAATCACACAATTTGATTTGCTGTTTCGAGCCAATGAGAATATTTTGAGGCTTCATATCTCGATGTATGATGCGGTTTGAGTGCAGAACATATAGAGCTTGAATGAGCTGAATAGCAAGTTTTTTAATCTCTTCTTCAGGGAGACTGTGCTCGTCCTCTAAAACTTGAAATAACTCTCCTTGGGCATATTCTGTCACCATACAGAACTCACGTTCAGTCTCGAATGAATCCATCATTGCAATAATATTGCAATGATTGAGACGTCGTAGAATATTAATCTATCGCTCTGATATTAGTTCGCTTTGGTTCAAAGTTTATCAATACTTAATACTTACTTCTTGGCGCAAATTTTCAAGATCTCGCACACTCTTTCCTTGCTTCGTCACGAACTTCAGCGCAACAACATGCCCTGTGTACTTGCGGCGCCCGCGGTAGACCTTTCCAAATGATCCTTCGCCAATGCGCTCTAAAATGTGATAATTCTCCATGCCGGCAATGAGGGTACTTGAAGCAGTTCGAAATAGTAGTTTCTGCACTCAAAAGTCGAGCTATCAATGCGACAACGATATAAATTATGGAGGGGCATTAAACTGGCGTATTTAAAAAAATGTGTCAGGGTTTTCAGTTGAAAGTTGCTACGTATTATCTTATTACACGGCTATACCTACTCGGCCCTGGCTAAGATATTACATTGCTTCATTCCGCTGGTATTTTTCTTGATTTTTTTAATTCTTGATTTTTCTTGTACGAGTCGCCATCCCGAAGTCCTTATTGGCTATCGTCGGTAATATTTTGCATGCAGCCGACATTTCTTGCATGTCTGGTACGATTACGATCGATTTTGTCCGCTGAGGGGCTCCAACCCGCGCCACACAACGTTATGTCCAGAAGCATTGACCACTCGACCCACGCCACCGGGTCGTGTCAGGGTTCTCAGCGCAAATATATCTTCTTTGAAATAGGGTTGCGAACCAATGTTGAGCTGTGGAACTTCTTAACGAATTTCTTCTTTCTGCTGGTGTGCCTGAAGCCGTAGATATATACGCTAAAAATACTTTTGAGCGGAGATCGTAGCCCCTATTGAGCCTTAAAATTGCAAAGGTTCACGGGATGATTGTCTTATAGCCCATTCCACATATTTTCTATGATCTTTTTCCTTCTCCAACCTATTGTTTTCTGAAGTCAGTTATAATACACCACGCCAAGTTGAACATTCTTTCGATCCTATTTACGCACTGATCCTATTGGTCGAGCAATCTGGCCACATGCTGCGTGTCACTCAAAAAAGATACACCCTTGATCCTCATTCTTTCATTTGCTTTATAAGTGCTGAACTATGACCCAGCAAGTATGGTTAATACGTATCATTATACTTCGTATTAATCTTTGTAGTACTAAGTATGGACTACAGCTTGTGACAGATCACTACCGTGGTAAAGCAACCTGTATTGTCATTTGTAGCCTGTGACAGAAACACTCAATGACTGGGAAAGCGCACTGGAAGGCGCAACTTGATTCTTAGATATTCCTTAAGTATAAAGGCGGACATCACCCACTGAGTGGGTAAACGCGCAATTGACTTTGATTAAAGACGCGACTTGATTCTTCGATAATTCCTAAGAGAAGCCCGTGGCAGACATCACCCAGTGAGTGGGTGAACGCGCAATCGACTTTGACTAAAGACGCGACTTGATTCTTCGATAATTTCTAAGATAAGATATTGGCAGATATCACCACATACTGAGTGGGGAAACGCGCAATAGGCTTGAATAAAGACGCGACTTGATTCTTCGATAATTCCTGTGGCAGAAAACACCCACTGAGAGGGGAAATGGATGATTGACTTGAGCGAGATGCTAATACAGAGACTTCCCTTGATCCCGATATGTGTGGTATCGGGCAATTTGTTGGATGACCGTAAAGCGTAAGTTGCTTGGTAGACTTTTTGAGAACAAAACTGGGCTACTAGGATGAGCAAAGCTGTACCCTGAGCCAGTAATGGAGAGCCACTGATGTTGAAAGCTTAGCTGGGCGGAGGAACGTTGCTGTACTCCG